CTCTAATGATTTCACCTCGTTTTCAAATTACGGGAAACGTCAGTCGTCTTCTTTTTTCTGCAAAGAGCTTCATGCTGACCATAATTGGCAGTATTGAAAATTTCAAATGGTTGTGGAAGTCGCGAAAAGAACAAGTAATAGCCTAGTGAACGCTAGTTAGCTCAAAAATACCTAATCTGCTATACTTTTGTTTTTCCTCGGCCTTTTTTAGGGAATAAGAACTGTTACAGAGTTTCATATACGGAACGCCTCTACTTCAGAAAGTTAAGCGCATTGTTCTCCTGTTAACACAATTTTCCTTCTTTAGGAGGCACTTTTTTGAAAATCTTTGTGTAGACACCAAAATCAGGTGTTATTGGTAGATCAGTTAAAAAATCTCCATGAAATTCAGCAATAGAAATCCAGCATTATTCTGTTAAAAACTGCGGATTAGTGATCCTAGATCAAATTTCTTTTTTTAATTTTGAAACAGAAAAGCAAAAGCGTTATAACTGACACTTTTTAGCAATGATCTGCGATAATGTTGGTTTTTCTCCCAATGATTTGTAGATGAGTTTAAAAAACAAAACAGTTTCAGCTACTTTGTTGATGTTTCACGAAGAAATGGCCAATTTTATTCTGGTAAGTATCAGCTTTTTACTGTTCTGGAATTTCACGCATCATACGCACCTGAAAATAGATTAGAAGTTCTGCCGCAAGAATTTTTCGCCTACGTCTAACTCTGCTTAGGAGTGCTTACCTCGGTAAAAATTTTAAAGTAACTTTTATTTTTCAAAAAAACCTTTGGTTTGCATTCTATCCTTATTCTATCCTTCCATATCACGAACGGATGTATTGAATGTATGCAGTAAAATTTCTTGAAGTCTACATGACTGCTTCTCAAAGTCTCCTCTCTTGTATAATTTTTGACAAATCCTTCAAAGTAGAAAGAATAAGCAAATAGTCAATAATATTCTGATTCAATCTCTAGAAAATCTATGACAAAAATAGATGATATTTGAAATGTCATCCATTAAAGCTTACAATCCACAGCTCTTCTCAAACAGCGTTAGCAGACAATGACGGCAACTCGACATTTTCAAAATTACGCACAAGTAAAAATTCTTGAAGAACACCAATTGACAAAGCAAAATGAGACTTATCCGAACGCACTGTACACTAATCAAGTAAATTTGTTTTTCTCTTTTATTTACTTAACACAATGTGTTCATATTGTCACTGAAAAACTAACTAATAAATTCCGCACAAGCCGACGAAATTACTACCTTATTTGCTTCTACATGAATTGGACCACAGCCTGAATACTCCAGTTCCCAGTTTCTCGTCAAAATTGCTCAAAGAACTTAATGTTTTCCGTTAAAAAAAAGAGCATATTTGGTGCCAGACCAACCGCTGACCTGCACATATCTGATGGTATTGATCCACATGATATTTTACACTTTGTACTCGTATTTTCATCCGATCTTTTTCAAAACCAATTTCATGTTTTATTTGTGATTCGATAGCAGTTTTCAGCAGACAGTGATTTCTGCCGTAAAAACAATGCTGCATCGTGTAAGCGCTAACTTGAGCTTCTTTATAAACTAAGGAGCTTACTGTGTATCCAACAATTTGAAGCTCCAGCCATGATTTTGCACTAATCATTTTACACAGTTACTACAAGTTTTGAGATGTTACGTAAAATGGAGCATAACCACCGCTTAGTGAGCATATCTAAATATTGCTTTATTATACTTCAACTTTTCTGTTCTTAATATTTTTCTTTATTGCACGTTCAGTTTCTATAAACAGTTATCTCTAATATTTGATTTTCATTCATGTTTTATCCTACATTTATTCATTCCATTTTCTTTTGACCTGCTAGAGCTGTATAGCTTTTTTTAAACATTTAATCCTCGCTTCTTTTCCACTGCTTCGTCCGAAAGCGCAAACGTTATAAACAAAAGATTAACTTCTCTACTCAAACAAGGTTAGCTTATAGCAGTAGGATTTCTGACGATTACAGAGTCGCTGCATCGGAACAACTTCAAGCAGGAGATTAAGTAAAGAAACTAAAAGTGGGGATGGTTCTTAGACTCTTCGGATGTTCAACGGGTACTCGCATAGCGTTAGGAGGTTCTGCGGATCCAAATGACCCATACAGGTTTTGGTCGCCTCACTTTCTTTCGAGAACCATGTTGCAGTATAAAAAAGAAGGTTACTGAATAAATTAAGAGTGGTGTTCACGTTTTCCAAGCATATGCATGAACTTGAGGTGAGTATCAGGCGAACCATCGTCAGCCTAACGTTGCTGGTAATCGAAATGAGTTAATGGTATAATGTCGAGAAGCGCGTTTATAAACGCAAAAACCTTGCGTTCTGAAGAGGAAGTGAAGGTGCGTAAAGAAGTGTTTTTTTGGTGAAAAAATTATCTTCAAACATCATGTCTCCACAGTTCCTAAGTTGCAATTGTATTTTGACATAACTGATTTAAGAAGTTTTCAGTATTATTGTCGTCTAACTTTGCTTACTGTTCTGCTATCGTAGACCGTTTTTACTACTGGTGATTGATTCGACTTTTTAAGAATGTAGTCTTTCAACGTTTCTGGCCTTCTTTTCATTTTCATTAAAAGCGCAGCCTTTCTTGTCCTGTTATGCCTTTAGAAAGTCTTGTTCAAAAGCAAAAATTTAATCGTTATTTTTTTTTATCAGAGGCATACATCATTTTTCATCTTTTCTACTGTATTTGACGTTTTTACGCTCATTATGTATGACCTATTCGACAACTGCACTGTTAATTGGTTCCAAGCTGTTCTGCGCTTCAGATTGTTTCCAATTTTATGAATGAGCCATTTTTAAGTACAGGTTGTAATCTTATGAAAAGTAGATCATTTAGATCACCTTTTTAATGCCAAAGAAGAGTACTGCAAGCTTTGAAACATCCTTTTTTTCCTTCTTACGTGGCACATTTTTTTAACACTTTCAGGTTACTCAACGGCGGAAAATGCCTGTACGTTGTCCTAAGGAAAGTCAAATTTTTAAACTTCTGGGTATCTGACGTTGAAATACGTTGCCTACCAAATGTGTCATCAACCTTTGTAACAGCCACAACAGCGCTGAAACTTATTACTAGAGAAGGAAAATTAGCCGAAATTGCTTGCTATCAAGCCTGAAATAAATAAAAGTAAAACTAAGTTTAGAACGGAAAATAACAAACAAAAAAGCAAGGAAAGAGCAGGAAACGCGACTTGAGACAAATTGCTGCACTTTGTTTTAAAGCAACAGGCTTCCATCCAGTTGAACGATGAAATACAACAATTGGCAAGAGTTTTATAGAGGGACTAATGGCTCCCAGAAAGTCTTGCGCTTTTGATACTAACTTTATTGTGATGCAACATCAGTTTCACCACTTTTTTGATCCTTTTAGTTTCAGCAGTAATACTTTATTGTAAAACAAAAAGAGCACGTTTCAACCAAGAAGCTCCTCTTAGGGATTCTTCGTCAACGACTTCGCTAATCTCCAAAGCCGTACTTATACAATAATATTTGCACCTCCTCACTTTAGGGGTCACTAGCATATACCAAAAACATTTCGTAGCAAATTCCGTAGTTTAATTGAGACACTGCCGACACTTTAAAATTATTGCCTTTAACAATACCTAGGGTTACAGCTTATCCTCATTTTTGCAGGGTTTGAAGAGGATTTCGATAGACGTGACGTAGGCTGTACTGGTTGCCATTTGAAACCGAAATCCAGGAAATCTGAAGAGTTTTAATCCGCATCCCAGCCTTCTCCCTCTCCGCAAATTTCTTATTTCTTGACCAATTATAGGTTTACCGAAAAATACCTACGCAACTACAGCTTTCCAGCTGTGTAAATAGAACTTATTAATGCATGAAATGACCAAAACGGTTGCCGGAGAGTTATCCTCAAAAAATTCTTATATCCAAACCGATCAAAAGAAAGCTTAGGATCCTTCCCAGCCAAAATTTCTTTCCCCTTCATTTTTGCTAAGAATCTTGCATGATGAAAACGGTTAAGTTACTTGCGCTGCTGTAGCTGCAGAAATGAATCAAAGCAGCAACTAATTTTGAGGAAACCGCGGGCTCTAAAGAAAAAAATGAGCGTGAGTTTGAGGTAAAAAATGCATGCCTGTGACTGAACATGCTTAGTTGCAATAGCGGCGACTCTTCAGTTATAGAGTGTTGTGTGTAAAAACCTCTAATTTATATTTGCAAACTTGAATGAACTCCTTAAAACGGTAGAGCCATAAGCGCCAATTTAAATATTGCCAAACCAGTTCAGAAGTTTTTAACATGGCAGACCACTATTTGTTTTGAGAATTGACTCTTGAAATGCAGATGCTAAATTGAAGGAAAACTGTAAAATTGAAATTAATTCCTTTGCAAAAAGTGCGGTATTAAAGCAGCAAAAACCTGAATTGAATGCGTAACCAAACTGTAACAACTGAGAAAGAATATTTAGTTGTACTCTCCAACAAACATGTGAAATTTTTTTATTTTTTAGGAAGAAGCCACACCGAAAGTTTACACATAAAAGGATTTCGATACATTTTGATCTCAAATGTCTTTAGCAAGCAAAAAAGTGAAGGCTAACATGCTGGGGAATTGTTTCAGTAGATGTCAAGTTCAGAATTAAATTCCAATCGATCAAAAACTGTCATTCTTGAACGGAGCGAATGATTTATGACGTAAATCACACGGAAGAATTGAAACACGATGCGTTAACCAAATTTCTGCACTTCAACTTAATAGAACGACGTAGAAAAATATGTGACAATGATGTAAAGAAAAGAGGTGGTTTTGATATAAATATTAAATCCCTATAAATTAGTAATCTGTTGCTAATTGCTCAAGAATAGGTAAACCCAACTGAGCCTAAGTACACGTCCAAAAATTATCCAGTGCAGCAGAGGTAAACCGAGATGACTGAAATCTAGAAAATTCTTACAGCATAAAACTTTGAATTATTTTTGTTTCCTAGCACTTCGTACAAAAGTGGTTACCACGATGTATATTCATTCCATCATTCAATATCAAGATTCTTCCCCCTGCCAATTAGTCTGAATGCAACAACTACATGACGGCCAGTCACATAACACAGGTACATTATGTACAGCTCAAAACCAGTGTTAAAAAGTTCATTCTTTTGAAAAAAGCCATTGCGAATTGAAAAACAAAGTATTTTTTTACTTAGATTCGAAGACCCTGTTGAACATTGCAGACTTCGAGGCATCTCCAAGAAGCTTGAAATCTTTATCTTCCATCATAATCTTCACATCATTTTCACTTTTGATTGCTTTCAAGCAGTTGTCCTTAACAATATAAAGATTACTTCTGTTATCAAGATGCAAAACTCCCCTTATTAAAGCATATTCAAAATATACATTAAAAGTAAGGTAATATTAATTAATTAAAAAGTTTATATGATGAGGAAGTAAAATTAAAATTTCATAAACTTACTTGTAATCGGCTAAGTTTATATTTTTCTGCGTAAACCAGTTTTTTCGTAGCAGAAACATCCTTTGAAAGTAATAAGAATTCCTCACACTGATTTATGACGTACGCCATACTGAATTTATGACCAAGCCTCAGCAGAGGTTCGTAGTTTTCAACTAAAACTTTGAGTTGTTAGATTGCGCCACAACGTTTTTTTAACGATATTACTAAGTTAGAAACACGAAAGGGCAATGAACGATGACGAAAAAAGTGTCAGATGTCTTATCCGTAAATGTGGCAGTTAGTAAAAAGCCTATAGCTGCAGGAGGCTTGAGTAAGGAAAAATCTGCTATACTGTATCAGTTTGGCATTCTCATAATGCAAATTGAAAAAACACCATTAACACGTTTCCGCGAGGGATAAATAAAGAGCAACAATTCATTGAACTCGTCAACATTTAAGTCTGGAAGTTCCACTTGCTTGACTTCGGAAGATTGTTGCAGCAAAAAGGTACGGAAGAATGGCGAATGGAGGCAAAGGTACTAAAGCAATGCTTTTAAAGTGAAGTTCTGCAAGAGCATTGAAAAGAAGAAATATAAAGAACTATGCAGAAAATTATTTGGTTATTACTGTATGGTGGCAAACGAAGCCTTACAGATACAAAAGCAGATCATGCAATTATTATGAGAATTCAGATAATATGACGCAAAAGTTAAAACATAAAAAACTAACAAACCACACACAACCTACACAATTATTATAAAAAAGAGTAGGATAAGTGAAAAAGATGAGAAAGGCATAACAGCTAACCCACCGCTTTACTAACATAAAATTTTTTCCAACCTACAACCAAGACAACGTCACAAACTTCAGGTTGACGAATTGAAAAGTCAAATGAATGAGGGCCTCTAGAATAAATCATGATAAAAATAGAAGTGCTAAGACTTTTAAAAAGTTACAAATGATTATGAAATCTTCATTATTTGAAAGCACTAACCGTACACCAAAAGCCTTTTCAATAGTAATATAAGCTAAGATAACGACTTCATCATCGCATATATATCCCTTGTTTAAATCGATAACTTCATTCCAATCAACAAGCTTTGCAAAATTCACGCTGTTTTTTTCAAAGCAGAAGATATGAGTTAACTAAATTTCGTAAATTTGTACGAAAATACGTTATCAACAACAAAAAAAATTTTCTTACTGTATGATCACACTGTCACAGATATGACTTCTCGATTCGCAAGTACTGTACTGCAAAAAAATCCTAAGAATTTTTAATATCCTACCGTTCGAGTAATGTCAGGTGTAGCTTCATTCTGAGATACTACTTGGAACCGAACAGTAGCCTCGCAACCCCACAAATTTGACCTGCTTTCCTTGCTACAGTAGACATAAATGTTGATGTCCTTAGCACTACCGTCGCTATCCGGGCATTCAACGGTTACTGCCAGCTCCCTACATGTTTGAAATATTAATCAATAATGGCCCTTAATCAATAACAGAAGAGAATTGGGAAATGAGTAAAAGCGAAACATTCAGCAGTAGAATATTTGAACCAGTAACCATAAGAATCCTCCAATGTTGGCATTTGATGACGTCATTTGCTGGTTCATAGAAGTAAAATTTGGAATCTTCACTTTAATAAAACCTTCACGGTTGGAATATGGTGATACTCTAAAAACAGTACCCAATCTATCCAAGACTTAAAAGAGAAAGCAGACCAAAAAAAGGAGGAAGAAAGTAATGTTTAACAAATAAACAGTAACAATTTTCGGTTCTTACAGTTTTCACAGAGCTGTTCTGCAGCAAAATAATTATTAAGATAGATTTTCGCTCACAAGACTGAAAAACCTTAATCAGAACTTAGTTGTCAGGTCCACTTTTTCAACCAGTCGCCAACTTCTAAGGGTGGCAAAACCACTTGAGTACTATCATAAACCAGTTATGAGCCTTATTTCTTACAGGCAGTGACGAAGTTTGAATGTTATTTCAAAGAAAAACAGTTGTGCATCCACTAAAAAATAGCTAAGTTTTGAGCATTTCAAACTTTTTCTCTCATCTTCTCGCTCAGTCTCTTTCTTCAAACAACATTAAAAATAGTATATAAAGACTATAACAAAAATAATTTTTTTGAAAAACACATGCATTTGTGAATCAAAATTTGAAAAAAACAAATTTTAAAAAAACTCTACCGTCGGCCGATAACATCAGCCACCAAAATATCGGCTCTAACGCGTACTTCGTTATCACAGATGTAGCCATTATTTGGATCAGTGACTTCATCCCACTTCATAAATTTCTGGTACCCTTGAGTATTCAGCCTCTGATTAAACTCTCGAATAAACTAAAGTTAAAAGAACCTCAACAACATCGTCACCATAGTAAAACAACGGAACATTCTTACAGTGTTTTCATAAGCAAGTGCGCAAGTAGTTCCAATAATGTGACACGTTTGCTCATTACGTGCTGAACAAAAACGGTAATTTACTCATTTGAGAAGTGGTATAGTGCTTGATTAAGTCCTACCGTCTTGCTGTAGTCAGGTACACCTTCTTTTTGTGATATCAGCCGAAATTGAACAGTAGCATTACAACTCCACAACTTTGAACAGTTTTTATTGTCACAATGAAGATAAATGCAGAAGTACTTCTTATTATCGGTGAATCTAGAGCATTCGGTCTTTGCTAATAACTTCCTGCACAGGTGAAAACATAATTGTGAAAGATGTAGTAGAAGTCAGAACAGCACATGCCAGTTGAACAAATTAAAAATAAACCATTGAAATCCAAAGATACTGTTCGCCGACGATTTCACTGTTTTACTGAGCGTCGTAAAATTTAAAATCTTTACTGCTACTGAACCGCCACGAATTGCAAGCCGACGTATCAGTGACTAAAAAAGTTTTATTTCAAATGCTACATAACTTTTCGAATTCTGCCCCTGCATGTATTTAGAAGCCATAATCTTGAAAATTTTTGCACGTTTAGGTCGTTACATGAAAATACATGCAGTTTCAAAAAAAAACTAGTTTAAAAGTTCTAAATTAACAGTTCCGAGGAGCGTCTGGTTTCTGAAAGATAAATGAGCAAGAACCTGATTTGTTGATATTTTTTTATGGAATTTACCAGGATAGTCAGAATAAGTGGACGGTCTGAAAATATTATTTTTCTTTGCAGATAGAATAGCACTTGTTTATTAGGTCTGTTTGAATAAGCAAAGAACAGTAAAGAGAAGTATCAAACATCTCACTAAACATGTTTCCTGTGTGTAAACATTTCCAAATGATCAAATTACCAGCAAATGCTGATTATTCTCAGAAAAATTCTTCCAAAAATGAAAAAAACAATTAGTCACTGAAAGAGAGATTCAAAAAATCAATAATAAGCTTTTATTAAAGCTTATGTGAAGCCAAAGCGACAACTATGAAAACAATCAGAATGTAAAAGAATGAACAATAAAGATGCTTTTTAAAAAATCAAAAAACTTACCGACCGCCAACACTACTGAGAACGGTGATTTTTGCTTCCACCACAACTTCGTTGTCCCGAATATAACCTCTACTCGGATTGATGATTTCATCCCACCCAATAAATTTCAGATAGCCCCAGTTGTCTTCTTTTTGGGTGAACTTGTGAACTGACTAAAACTTGCAAGGATAAGGATAAGAAAATTTCAAGTCATTGTGATGATCATTGGTTACTACTAGAATCAAGAACAGTCTGATGCTTTTTATCTTTAGCAATAACAGCAGCAAAAAAAAAACACTAGTTTATTCTGCTCCACCTTCGTCGTCGTCCTTTTAAACAGAAGTGGAAAATTAAAAAAGAGATATGAAAAATGGAAATTAAATGAAGCATCAATTTGATTTACTCAGAGCGTTAGTTAAACTTTAATGGCGATTGAAAGTAAAACTTCAATACCAAAACGGCGGATACAGTATGTCAAGTCTTCATTACCAATTCAATCCCGGACAGCACTACGCTGCCTTTTTCCTCCCTCCCATCGAATTCTCTGTACTTTTGCGAAAGTTGAGAAACGCCGCAAACTCACCCCTTTCTTCCCTACAACCCTCCCTTTGATAATGCCTTTTACATTCCGATACACTTTTTGTGAGATGGCGGCTGTAAAAGGCGTATCGAGAAATAATGCAAGAACGGAACAGTGGCATAGTTAACCGAAAACGCAGAAAAAAAAGAATGATACATAAAAAAAGAATGATACATTTTTACCGTATAACAAGCAACAAAGAATGCTGCTTGTTATACGGTAAAAATCCCTCAGGGAGAGGGAACGCAGTCAGTAAGTTTTCTTGTGAAATTTGAAAATTGGGCTCTTTGTTGCGGCAACCTTCGGAAAGACGTCTGGACTACTAATTGTTCTACCGTTTTGGTGTAGTTTGGGACTCCTTCCTTCTGTGACATAAGTCGGAACTCGATCATGGCTTTACAGCTCCATAGGTTCGAACTACTGTCGCTGATGCAGTAAACAAACAAACAAAAGTGTTTCACATTGTTGCTGGCCTCAGAACAGTCAGTTTTCGCCTCTATTTTCCTGTAAAACGGAGAATTTTGATGGAAATAACGTCGGAAAAAATCCAATGAGCATTTGGTGACAAAAGTAGAATTAAGATTTACCATGAGAAACCGCCAATTTCGTAAATGGATAATCGTCGAGCGAGAAGTGAAGAGAATTTGCGAATCCTCATTGTAGTAGAGCCCTCTTGGACTGTAAACTCCTCTTTTGAAAGCTAAACTTGAAAGGGTTAGCACTAAATTTATGCGATATAGCATGTGGTGTCAGTTATTACTGATTGTGTAAAGTGCATCTGCATAACGTGTGGAAGATCTGGTCAGGAAGTGAAAATATGTCGGTTCTGGCGGACAGTGGTGACTTTGCATAATACAGTGAAATTCACTGGCCTGGTTAGTGGTCATTTCGTTGAATTATTGTTAGGATAAGTCGAGCTATCAGACGATCTAAAATTGGTGTTTGAATACTCGCAGAATTTACAAAGGTTAGTGTCACAGGGTAAATGGATATGTACTGTTGCGTCAACTACATAGTTACTTGAAAAGCTTAAAGATTAAGATTACAGTAATGAAAAAAAAGGTTCATGCGTGACTGCAGGCTAATGTAGCTGCAGCAGGTCTATGGCTCACTTTCTCCAGTAAGGTAAAAGGAAGTGGGAAAATGCAAGTGCCACAAAAGTTTACAGTTTTTTCTTCTGGCGTTTGATGCGTATGCCTGCGAAAATCAAACGTTTTAAACATTTATTAGTAGTCTGATAAGACACTGCGACAAAAAAATTGCAAAATGCACCGGTTATCAAGATTGATTGGTTAATGGCAATTTCCCAGTTTTTTACTCATCACATGTCAAGCTGTAATGCTTTCAGACATATTTTTTTTAAAGCACTTTTTTAAAGCCTTTTTCAAGCTTGAAATGCCAGCAAATTGGTTTTTTTACACAGGATTGTAGGATGTCTATAAATTAGTGGAACTTTTGTGTGAAAATTTATTTGAGTCCTGCTTTCGCCTTCAAATCTACGGTAAATTACGTTTTACGGCATAGCGAACATAATACATAAAAGGTGAAAAAGACAACGACTGAAGGGTCTGGCTCTAATTTATGAAACAAGGTTGCGGTCCAGTTCGGGTCTCTTAAACTTAAACTTTCTGTTCACATTTGATTTTAAACTACAAGAAAGATTTTTTTCAACACTTAGTAAATAGAAGAAAATGAAAGGCTAATTTATTACGAGAAGGAGAAGATATTAGCCATTGAAAGTCTTAGTTCGTAATGAATTAGAAGCCAGAAGCACATATCATAATGTTATCAAAACTTTCGAAATACTCGCTTCAAAGAAGGCAAGCGATCTAATGTACATCATTTTTACAAAACATCCCAGTCAAAGTCAGTACTACTGACCTGTCAACAGGGATCGCCTACTAATCTCTATAAATGACATTTAGCAGTGCGCAGTCTAAATATTCTTTCACAAGATATCTCCCAATGTCCCCGACAAATAATAAGCGTTACTGTTCATCATCTTATTTTTTGTTTTTCTTTATACAGTTTCCTTCATAAATGTAAACTGATCTAAGAATTTTAACGGGTCTCCAGAGTTATTCTTTAAATTAGTAACACTATTGATACCCGCCCATTCTTACAGGTAACGCATTAAAACCATAGTACTTTTAATAAATAGTGAACCAAAAGATTCAATTAAACAAAACAGTAAAAAGAAAAGGCTTCTAACTGATTGTTCTAACACTTTTGCGGACGCTAAAATTTACTACACGTAATTTTATTTTCAAAAAAACTTGGAGTTTGCATATTTGAATATGTGATGTATCCGTTAGTTTAAAGTTGAACTAAATCGTGTTCCTGCAAGAGACCTATTAGTACAAAAGCCTTGATTCTGAGTTCACTTTAACCCTCATTTCAAATGCATTTTTATTTTAAAAAACTCTTTTCACATTGCTTCACACATTAGTTTTCAGCAACTACACAAACTTTTAAGAGCAGCAACGTAGTTGTCATTGAAAAGACAAAAATCAACAAAGACATGGGACCAATACATAATCAACACTTCGAATCTTTAGAATAATTTATTAACGTTGTCAAGTTTAAATAAATTGACAGTTACGTTTTTTCATTTCACCTCAAATAACTTTTCAAACAATGCAGACTTTGAGGCATCTCCAAGAAGACTAAAATCTACATGATTCTTCAAGTTTTCTACGTCACTCGCAGATTTGATTGTTCCCAAACACTCTTCCTGAAACATTTTTGAGTCACTTGAGTAATCAGTAAATTACCTTCTTCAAGGGCTAATTTATTTTTTTAGTGTATCAAGTACTACCGCGCATATGACAGCTAAACGCTTACAAGCAACAGACTAAATCTAAACTTCCCAAAACTTACTTGGAGTTTACTGAGTTTATACCTCTCCGCATAAGATAATTTCTTCACAACCGAAATATCCTTAGATGCTATTAAAAATCGCTCGCAGCTATTTACAACATAATCAACGTCGAATTTATAACCAAGCTTCAGCAAAAATTCATAGTTTCCACCTAAAATCTACAGCGCTCGACTGTGCTTTTTAATTTCTGCAAATTTACTGATTCTAATAAATTCGCTAACTTCTGTCTGCTATATAGCAAAAAAGCCTTTGAAGAAAAAAAGCAGGCGAATGAAGATAAAATTTAAAGCCAAATAAGATGTGATTTATTCAAGAGTTGTCGGCGAGTTGAAAACTTTTCAGTATAATTCTCTTGGTAAAATTGGTAAAATTCTCTTCAGCTTTAAAATTAACGATACTGAGTGGTTACCATCTACAGCTTTTCGGCTTGGATAGATAACTCGCAATAGTTCAATAAATTCGTCAACGTTTACGTCTTCAAAAGGTATTTCCAGCTGATCCGTGCCAAAAATTTCGGCAAAAAATAATGTATAAAAGTAATTCGAAAACAGAGAAAGATACTGAAAAAACTTACTTGGTGGCAATAAAAAACAATCACAACGCAAAGTAGAAATAGAAAAGAAGATGGTGGAACAGCTTTTAATTGCCCAAAAAAAGTAAGAACGCATATATAATGAAAAAAATATAAGCAGCTACAATTTATGCATCAGTTACGTTACGAACTTTTCTAGAATTCTGCTATAGCCGTTATGGCAGTATAGATGAATGATAGTTTACAGCAAGATCACAAAAAAAAAAAAAAAAAAAAAAA